GACCTTGTAAGCTTCAGCTCTCAGTTGAGCTATTCCCTGTGTGGGAGTTTTGTCGCTTAAGACCGTCTCCCATTGAATGGTTGCAAGGTCTACATTTATTTTTTCCCAGTCAATCCTCTTATTGTTGAAATTGAATTGATTGAATATTCCTTCCCGCTTGTTAGGTCTCTTAGACCTACTACCGTTATTTATGCTAGTTCACACTTCAATGAGCTTATGGTCTGAGTATGAAGTATCTGAGATTGTGATGTCTCTGATTAGTTCATCATTGTTTGTGAATAACAAGTCTAGTGTGTTTTCGTTCCTAGTTGGTTCTGTAATCTGTTGATTGAGCGAGAATTTGTCACAGAATCTCAAAAGTTCTCTGACCTGTGGTTGGTTATTTCCCGGGTCATTCCCTACTATGATATTTGTGTTTGCCATTCTCCATCTAAGACTCGGTAAATTGAAATCTCCAAGGAAGATAATATCTGGAGCTGGGTTTGCTAGGTTATCAAGTATGTTCTCTATTTTGTGCATCTGCTCTGTGAATTCCTCAACCGTTGTATCTGGCGGTTTATATATTAGAATAATAATTAGGTTTAGTTTCTCTACCTTAATTCCAAGTACCTCTACCACCTCATTAGTTGAGTTTAGTAGTTCTGTACATACCAGGTCTTCTTTAATATACAGACCTACTCCTCCATTTGACCTAGTTTTTCTATCACATCTATAGAAATTATAATTTGGAATCCAGATTTCACCATCCATGTAATCTTTTGTATGAGTTTCCGTGAATGCCCCAAATATTGAGTTTGACTCTAATAGGAGGCCATTTATGAACTTAACATTATTTCTTGACTTTGGCTTTAAATCTAAGATGTTTGCAAATATGAATGATTTAATTGTGTGATAATAATTTTTGTGTGACAATATTGTCACACAATATTGTGTGACAATATTGTGTGGAGTGACACACAATATTGTCCATATTGTGTGTTACTTCTGGAAGGTTTTGGTAGTTCTCCCTCCTCTCTACCCTGACCCAGGGTGTGTTGTTGTGGCAATGGTTTGTCCAGTTTTGGAAGTGATACTGGGGAGTGTGGTAGTCTCTGTGTAGTTGGGGGTTGTAGTATGTGTGGGCTTGATGACGAACCGTAGTCCAGTCTTGGGCATTTCCCCTTCTCCATCCGTACTCCTGCCACGTTTATGCCTGTCTGTTTCTCCCTGTTTCTGCCTGCCTCTAAAAAAATTTCAGTGCTATTATACTGGACTTCCTCTCTTATATAGCGCTGTGTACCTCTGACGTGGAAATCGGGGCAATGAAGATCGTAGCATTTCCTCTCATTAACTGAGAGTTTGCATAACTTAGGGTGAAAATATCTACACTCTGTATCAAAACGACATCTGCCTTTCCCTAACCAGTTTCGGCATTTCCGTTGGTGCATGAATGAGCACTCCGTGCCTCTGGGCCCATATCTACACTGTCCTTTTGCATAATACCTGCAAATATTTTCATCTGTGATTGTATTATTCTTGTTTGTACCCGTGCACGACTTGGCTACCTCTGTGTTTTTTGTTCCAACTTTCTCGTTTCTGCATTCATTCTCGGTATTGCCCTTATCTTTCTCCTTGTTGCTTTCGTCTTTCTCATTTGTGTTCTCATTCGTCTCATTTTTTTCTCTCCTTATTCATATCACCAGTTTGCTCTACAATATTGCCTTCATTTTTGTGTGCCTCGACACTATGCCCTTCTACATTGCTACTTTGACTCTCTAAATTCTCAGTCCCTGGGTTGTGCTCAGAGTTCGTTGCTGTCTTTATATACTCTGCATATTGTGCAGGTAATCCTGTACAACTCAGGTGAAATCTTATGTTACATACAATGCCTACAATACTCCTCCGAAGTGACTTAAGGCAGCCTCCACACACCTCCATGTTGGGTTTGTGATGTTATAATATTATATGCATATATTTATAATATTATATGTATGTATATATAATATGTATACAGTATATTTATAATATTACATATGTTTTTTGTTCAAGTTTGTGTGGGGGTACTTATCGCCTTGTGGAGGAAATATGGTCCTCTTGGGACCTCGCTCTTCCTCCCGGGGCACAACGGAAGTGCGTTCCCTGGTGGAATGCGGACTGTGCTCGGGCTGTCTGCTGTAAGCATGCAGCCTGGAAGAAACACCGCCACCGGCTGATTCTTTTATTTTGTTTCGGAAGGTGAGTGCGGTGGCCCATAGGACCATCCGTACAGCTAAACGTGAGAGTTGGAAATCTTATGTTTCTACCATTACGTCCTTTGCCGCAGATCTGGAAGAAGATCCGCAAGATTGCAGGCAAGTTCGTTATAGATGTCTCACCGGTTCTCCACCTCTGTGGTACTCTTGTGGCGGATCCAGTGCAGGTCGCGACCAAACTGGGTTCCCACTTTTCTTCTGTTAGCTCTGGTTCTCATCTTCCTCAATCCTTCCTTCTTCGTAAGCCTCTTCTTGAATCTTATCCTTTAGATTTCCACACTCATCTCCGCCTTCCCTATAACAATCCTTTCTCTCATTCTGAAGTTCAGTCTGCCCTGGCCCTCTGCGGATCTACATCAGCGGGCTCGGATGACGTTCATTATGAGATGCTTCGCCATCTCCCTCCGTGCACGTCTCAGTATTTACCGAGTCTGTATAACCAGGTCTGGGAGTCGTCGTCTGTCCCTGAGGACTGGCTCGATGCCATTGTACTCCCTATTCTGAAATCAGGGTCTCTCGGTACGTCCCCTAAGAACTTCCGCCCTATTGCTCTCACGAGTTGTGTTTGCAAGCTCTTTGAGCGTATGGTAAATGTCCGTCTGATGTGGTTCTTGGAATACCATCACCACCTCTCTCCTTCTCAATTTTTGTTTTCGCAAGTGCCGCAGCACGACTGATGTCCTGGTGAACTTGGAGGTCTATATTCGTACTTCTTTTGCTGCGAAGACCTCCGTTGTTGCTGTCCTTTTTGACCTGGAAAAGACTTATGACACGACTTGGAGATACCATATTCTGTCCCAACTTCGTTCTTTTGGCCTTCGTGGTAATCTCCCTCTCTTCCTTCAAAGCTTTCTCTCTCTCGTCGTACCTTTCGAGTCAGGCTTGGTGCCACTCTCTCTGCCTCTTTTCGGCAGTATGAAGGTGTGCCCCAAGGTAGTGTTCTTAGTACTACTCTTTTTCTGGTTGCCCTCAATGGTCTTCTTTCCTCCCTTCCTTCTGGCATCTTCTCCGCTCTTTATGTTGACGATCTTACTCTTTGCTGTTGGGGTGATGATTCGCCTCTCCTTCAATGGCGGCTTCAACTTGCGATTGATGCCGTGTCATCTTGGGCCACCAATCATGGCTTCAAGTTCTCTACTTCTAAGACTTGTGCCATGATTTTTACTCGGAAGCGGGTCGTTCTTCGTCCCTTTTTGTCACTTTATGGTCATCCCCTTGAGTACAAAGATTCCACGAAGCTTTTGGGGTTATTATTTGACACTCGTTTGTCTTGGTCGCCCCATGTCTCTTACCTCCGTGTTGAATGCTCTAAGGCCCTTAACTTACTTAAGGTTTTGTCCCATGCTTCTTGGGGAGCGGATAGACGCACACTCCTCTATTTGCATTCCTCTCTCGTCCTTTCTAAACTTGATTATGGTTACCCTGCATACTCTTCTGCTTCTCCTTCTACTCTTCGCCGTCTTGATCCTTTGCACCATACTGGGTTGCGCCTCAGCTCTAGTGCTTTTCGTTCAACTCCTACCCTCAGCTTGTACGCTGACACTTGCTTTCTGTCTCTCCAGGACCACCGTGATTGCTACAGTCTTCGCTATCTTGCGCGGTCCTTACAGCATCCTCCCTCTCGCCTTTATCGTGCTTTGACTTTTACCCCTCCTGTAGTTCCTGTTCCTCTTCACCGCCTTCCTCTTTCTATCCGTTTGTCTCGTTTACAAGATTATCTTTCGGTTCGTATTTCGAATGTTTCTCCTCGTATTGTTCCATCCTTGCCCCCATGGAGGGTCCCCCTTCCCAAATTTTGTACTTCTCTGACCCACATCACTAAAGCTTTTACCCCTCCTACAGTTCTGAAACGCCTCTTCCTTGAGCATTTTTCTTCACACTCCCACTCCGTTCCCATCTTCACCGATGGGTCTAAGTCTGCTGACGGTGTGGGTTACTCTGTTGTTTTTCCTGACCACACTTATATGTGTCGCCTTCCTCCGGAGGCTAGCATCTTCATACCAGAACTTTATGCTGTTCTCTATGCTCTTCGTCTCCTGCTTTCCCGGTGTCAATCCTTCTTCATGGAGGTAGTTGACTCGTAGTGCCCTCATGGCTTTAGGGTCCTTTAATCCGGTTCACCCGGTGGTCATCGAGATTCAACATTGGCTGTTTCTTAGCTCCAGTAAATTTAAGTCAGTTGCGTTTTGCTGGGTTCCCAGCCATGTTGGTGTCTCTTTAAATGAGCGTGCAAATGCTGCCGCTAAGGCAGCAATCCGCACTTGTCCCATCTCTCGTAAAGGTATTCTGTAAAGGTGTTCTGTTATTGGTAACAAACTGCGTACTCTTAAGAGTCGTGTGTCCCAGTGGCCTTCCTCCTGCTACCGTAACCGGCAGTGGGAAACGGCTCTGGCTAGGTTACGTATTGGCCATACCCATTTAACTTACGATCACTTATTGAAGCGCCGCCCTGCTCCTTATTGTCCAAATTATATTGTCACTCTGTCGGTCGTGCATATCCTTGTTGAATGTCCTGACTTCCAGGACGAGCGTGTGTCTTGTTTTCCGACCGTCCCCCGCGGTCGTTTGTCCCTGATAGAATTCTTGGCGACTTAGATACTTTTGATATCGGTCGCCTTATGCGTTTCTGTTCTCGTATTGGCATCCTTGGTGATATTTAGCGCCCTCTGATTATCCCGCACATTTGGTGGTGCTACATAGCCTTCCCGGTTTGGTGCCTTCTATTGATGATTACTAACTTACCCTCAATATGACCCCTCGCTCCTCCAGGTTGACGTGCCCATCACCATCAACCTGGTGTTGCTGTTCATGTACATGATGATGGGGTCCGGACTGTTTATGTACTGGGAGGGGTGGACGCTCGGCTCCTCCACCTACTTCACCTTCGTCACCATCTCCACCATCGGCTACGGGGACATGATTCCCAGCGCCGCCATCCTCGACAGCCTCACCTTTAGCGCCCATACCTTCAAGTTTCTCATCTGCATCGTCTACATTCTTCTTGGTAAGTGTGTTTGGTATTTGGTAATTGCTTGTTTGTTGTTGTCAAACCCCTCGTTTAGCTCTCCACCACCAACCACGCCTTTTGTGCATGGTTGGTGGTGGGGAGCTATAGGTGGGGGTTTGAGGGGGGGATCTATGGGTAGGGTTTAACGGGAGGTATAGGTGGGGTTAAGGGGAGCTATAGGTGGGGTTGAGGGGAGCTATAGGTGGGGTTTGAGGGGGTTATCTTGAGGTTATCTTGAGATGATTTCGGGGCTTTTTAGTGTCCCCGGCTTCCACACCTACGAAGCAGCCCGTGACAGCTGACTAACACCCAGGTACCTAGTTTACTGCTAGGTAGCAGGAGCATAGGGTGAAAGAAACTCTGTCCATTGTTTCTCGCGGGCATCCGGGATCGAACCCGGGACCACAGGATCACAAGTCCAGCGTGCTGTCCACTCGGCCGACCGGCTCCCCGGGGGGAGCTATGGGTAGAGTTTAAGGGGAGCTATAGGTGGGGTTTAAGGGTAGGAATGACGCCGTAAGGCTGATGTTCTCTGAGTGACCCAAGAGTGACCACCAATGAGCTGACCAGGTTGGGGTACCTTAAGCCTGGTCGTCTCCTCACGAGTGTCTCTGGATATATTGTGGTTGCGATATGTTGTAAAGTTCCCATGTATATATACTAACATACACCCTAGGTTAACACCATGTAAACTTCAGTAATCAGTGCCAGAACCTATATTAGTGTTTGGCTTAGCATACCACTTATACGGAGAGGCGTGCTTGGTGACCAAGTACCAGGCACACCTCACCTAGGGGGAACACACAGGTGTGGAGCCTGCTTGATGGGGTTCTGGGAGTTGTTCTACTCCCCAAGCTCTCCCTTTTACTTGTGGGAGTTTGGTCCACCAGGCTGTTGCTTGCAGCGGCCCGCAGGCCCACATACCCACCACAGCCCGGTTGGTCCGGCACTCCTTGGAGGAAACTATCTAGTTTTCTCTTGACGTCCACGGGCCACCTTACTTTAGCCTGTTGCAATTAATACAATTTCTTGTTGCCAGCAGAGGACAAGTGTCACATTTCCGAATGCATTATTACAAAAAACATGATAAACGGATTACATTACAAAGACAACATGTAGTTGTAATCCTTTCCTGTTAATTCAGTATTAAAGGCTGAATTACATTGTCACAAACATAACATTCTAACTTAACACTGTAAGCTGTATATCTCCTCACTCGTGTATTAACTTACACAAACACACTCTGAACTATTGGGCTCTATTTTCCTCCCTGAGTATTGACCATGGGAATAATTAATATAACTTTTTTCAACTTGTTCTACAATCGTTGATCAGAAACTTCATGCCTTGGATATATATATATATATATATATATATATATATATATATATATATATATATATATATATATATATATATATATATATATATATATATATATATATATGCAATTGACGATCACAAAACACTGATCATTTTATGCGGAAAAACCACAGAGAAATATGAAATGAGGTGAACGTTTCGGCTTGTTAAAGCCTTTGTCAACACCAGACTGACTAAAGGAGAAGGGAGAAGGGGGAGGATATATAGGCCGACACCTGACCAACCCATCCCTAGGAAAGAATTAACCAGAAACAGGAATAGCTTAGCTTAGAATGGTCAAAGAGGATTAAGCGGTCAGAGAATAAGGATTAAAGATTAAAGAAAAGCCTCATGAACACGCAATATATGAATATAAAATTATAATGAAACATTGTAAGCCTCTCTAGAGTTTTTTCTTAAACTGTTGTGCAATATTATAACTTAAAAATGGATCAAGTTTGTACATTCCAGTACTAACATTAAGAAGATTTGGACACTGATTAGAGCAGACTCAATTAAATTCCGTTCCACGAAATCCCCACATTGGTAATGCTTATATATGTATATATATATATATATATATATATATATATATATATATATATATATATATATATATATATATATATATATATATATATAAGGCATGAAGTTTGTGATCAACAAACCAGATACCAATACCAGACTAGTACATGTACTCACTACTGACCAGGATGGTGACAGTGCCATGACAGCTCTATGACCAGGATGGTGACAGTGCCATGACAGCCCCATGACCAGGATGGTGACAGTGCCATGACAGCCCTATGACCAGGATGGTGACAGTGCCATGACAGCCCTATGACCAGGATGGTGACAGTGCCATGACAGCCCCATGACCAGGATGGTGACAGTGCCATGACCAGGATGATGACAGTGCCATGACAGACCTATGACCAGGATGGTGACAGTGCCATGACAGCCCTATGACCAGGATGGTGACAGTGCCATGACAGCCCCATGACCAGAATGGTGACAGTGCCATGACAGCCCTATGACCAGGATGGTGACAGTGCCATGACAGCCCTATGACCAGGATGGTGACAGTGCCATGACAGCTCTATGACCAGGATGATGACAGTGCCATGACAGACCTATGACCAGGATGGTGACAGTGCCATGACAGCTCTATGACCAGGATGGTGACAGTGCCATGACAGCCCTATGACCAGGATGGTGACAGTGCCATGACAGCTCTATGACCAGGATGATGACAGTGCCATGACAGCCCTATGACCAGGATGGTGACAGTGCCATGACAGCCCCATGACCAGGATGGTGACAGTGCCATGACAGCTCTATGACCAGGATGGTGACAGTGCCATGACAGACCTATGACCAGGATGGTGACAGTGCCATGACAGACCTATGACCAGGATGGTGACAGTGCCATGACAGCCCCATGACCAGGATGGTGACAGTGCCATAGAGCGAGACTGTCTCCTCCTTCAGGAGCAACAAGTCTCTTGAGTATTCTTGACCTATTCTCATAGGTCAAGAATATGTACCCAAGAATAGACCCAAGTATCCGGCCATACCCGGATACTTGTTCTTCCTGCTGGTGTAATACATAATATAGTCCTCATAGTCAAAATTATAAAGCAAAATGATTAAATGTTAATGCATAAAATATTTGAAGACTATATGTTAACCCATCTTGGTAGTGGTATTATTAAGACTTGTTTGTTTGTTTCAGGTATGGCTATTCTCTCCATGAGCATCAACCTGATGCAGGAGCAGCTGATCGCCAAGTGCCGCTGGTTCTCTGCTCAAGTGGGCCTCAGTAAACCTAAGGAAGTCGAGGAAATCAAACCTGAAGTGAATACAAATAATGACAAAAAGAAAAAGAAAAAGAAGAAGGACAAGAAAAATACTGACTCGAGGGAACCAGAGAAGCCGCTGCTGCCTGCTGACGACGGAGCTCCTGCTGGGGCCTCGAGGACGGCCTCAGCCACATCTAGGCTCTCAGCCGCCATGCCCATGCCTGAATCAGAGATCCCCAATGCATTGTCCACAATGCCTTGAGCTCCATCTCTAAAAATCTGTCTCCAGTTCCAGACGCCAGCTGGCTCTTATCTTTAAGAGGCTTAATGCTAACTTTCAAACCCTTGACTCTCGTCTCCAGCTCCTAGATCTTCATATCCCCTCACAAATGTCCCACTCATCAATCCCAGGTCATCGTCTTAAAGGCTCAGATCCCCCGTATCCAGTGCTTGGATCGCCCTCTTAGCAGAATAGACTCCCATCACCACATTCCTGATCTGTAACTCCACATTCCTGATCTGTAACTCCACATTCCTGATCTGTAACTCCACATTCCTGATCTGTAACTCCACATTAGTGATCTGTAACTCCACATTCCTGATCTGTAACTCCACATTCCTGATCTGTAACTCCACATTCCTGATCTGTAACTCCACATTCCTGATCTGTAACTCCACATTCCTGATCTGTAACTCCACATTCCTGATCTGTAACTCCACATTCCTGATCTGTAACTCCACATTCCTGATCTGTAACTCCACATTCCTGATCTGTAACTCCACATTCCTGATCTGTAACTCCACATTAGTGATCTGTAACTCCACATTCCTGATCTGTAACTCCACATTCCTGATCTGTAACTCCACATTCCTGATCTGTAACTCCACATTCCTGATCTGTAACTCCACATTCCTGATCTGTAACTCCACATTCCTGATCTGTAACTCCACATTCCTGATCTGTAACTCCACATTCCTGATCAGTAACTCCACATTCCTGATCAGTAACTCCACATTCCTGATCTGCAACTCCACGTTCCTGATCTGTAACTCTACATTCCTGATCAGTAACTCCACATTCCTGATCTGCAACTCCACATTCCTGATCTGCAACTCCACATTCCTGATCTGTAACTCCACATTCCTGATCTGTAACTCCACATTCCTGATCAGTAACTCCACATTCCTGATCTGTAACTCCACATTCCTGATCAGTAACTCCACATTCCTGATCTGTAACTCCACATTCGTGATCTGTAATTCCACATTTCTGATCAGTAACTCCACATTCCTGATCTGCAACTCACATTCCAGATCTGTAACTCCACATTCCAGATCTGTAACTCCACATTCCTGATCTGTAACTCCACATTCCAGATCTGTAACTCCACATTCCAGATCTGTAACTCCACATTCCAGATCTGTAACTCCACATTCCAGATCTGTAACTCCACATTCCAGATCTGTAACTCCACATTCCTGATCTGCAACTCCACATTCCAGATCTGTAACTCCACATTCCAGATCTGTAACTCCACATTCCAGATCTGTAACTCCACATTCCAGATATGTAACTCCACATTCCAGATATGTAACTCCACATTCCAGATCTGTAACTCCACATTCCAGATCTGTAACTCCACATTCCAGATCTGTAACTCCACATTCCAGATCTGTAACTCCACATTCCTGATCTGTAACTCCACATTCCAGATCTGTAACTCCACATTCCAGATCTGTAACTCCACATTCCAGATCTGTAACTCCACATTCCTGATCTGTAACTCCACATTCCAGATCTGTAACTCCACATTCCAGATCTGTAACTCCACATTCCAGATCTGTAACTCCACATTCCTGATCTGTAACTCCACATTCCTGATCTGTAACTCCACATTCCAGATCTGTAACTCCACATTCCAGATCTGTAACTCCACATTCCAGATCTGTAACTCCACATTCCAGATCTGTAACTCCACATTCCAGATCTGTAACTCCACATTCCAGATCTGTAACTCCACATTCCTGATCTGTAACTCCACATTCCAGATCTGTAACTCCACATTCCAGATCTGTAACTCCACATTCCAGATCTGTAACTCCACATTCCAGATCTGTAACTCCACATTCCAGATCTGTAACTCCACATTCCTGACCTGTAACTCCACATTCCTGATCTGTAACTCCACATTCCAGATCTGTAACTCCACATTCCTGATCTGTAACTCCACATTCCTGATCTGTAACTCCACATTAGTGATCTGTAACTCCACATTCCTGATCTGTAACTCCACATTCCTGATCTGTAACTCCACATTCCAGATCTGTAACTCCACATTCCAGATCTGTAACTCCACATTCCAGATCTGTAACTCCACATTCCTGATCTGTAACTCCACATTCCTGATCTGTAACTCCACATTCCAGATCTGTAACTCCACATTCCTGATCTGTAACTCCACATTCCTGATCTGTAACTCCACATTAGTGATCTGTAACTCCACATTCCTGATCTGTAACTCCACATTCCTGATCTGTAACTCCACATTCCAGATCTGTAACTCCACATTCCTGATCTGTAACTCCACATTCCAGATCTGTAACTCCACTTTCCTGATCTGTAACTCCACATTCCTGATCTGCAACTCCACATTCCAGATCTGTAACTCCACATTCCAGATCTGTAACTCCACATTCCTGATCTGTAACTCCACATTCCTGATCTGTAACTCCACATTCCTGATCTGTAACTCCACATTCCAGATCTGTAACTCCACATTCCAGATCTGTAACTCCACATTCCAGATCTGTAACTCCACATTCCTGATCTATAACTCCACATTCCAGATCTGTAACTCCACTTTCCTGATCTGTAACTCCACATTCCTGATCTGTAACTCCACATTCCAGATCTGTAACTCCACATTCCTGATCTGTAACTCCACATTCCAGATCTGTAACTCCACATTCCAGATCTGTAACTCCACATTCCTGATCTGTAACTCCACTTTCCTGATCTGTAACTCCACATTCCTGATCTGTAACTCCACATTCCTGATCTGTAACTCCACATTCCAGATCTGTAACTCCACTTTCCTGATCTGTAACTCCACATTCCTGATCTGTAACTCCACATTCCAGATCTGTAACTCCACATTCCTGATCTGTAACTCCACATTCCAGATCTGTAACTCCACATTCCAGATCTGTAACTCCACATTCCTGATCTGTAACTCCACTTTCCTGATCTGTAACTCCACATTCCTGATCTGTAACTCCACATTCCAGATCTGTAACTCCACATTCCTGATCTGTAACTCCACATTCCTGATCTGTAACTCCACACTGTAGCTCTGTAACTCCACACTCCAGGGCCCCATCTCCAGTGTTTGTAGTCAAGTGTTTGAAGACAAGAGGATGAAGGTCCATCAATCAGTGTTAGGGCGCTGTAATTACTGTTACGTAACTTGACTATTTTCTTATCTCAACCATTGTACTATTAATAGTTGTGTAACTTGGTGTTAGTTGAGTGCAGAGAACAAGCAAAGATAGTTCACAGCTAGGAAAGCCAATATTGGCTTCTGTAAGTCCAACCACTGGGGGTGGACGGTAGAGCGACGGTCTCGCTTCACGCAGGTCGGCGTTCAATCCTCTACCGTCCAAGTGGTTTCTTTCCCCCCCGTCCCATCCCAAATCCTTATCCTGACCCCCTTCCCCAGTGCTTTTTAGTCGTAATGGCTTGGCGCTTTCCCCCTGATAGTTCCCTCGTGTATTGTGACGTCACACAAGGGCACTATGATATGGTTAAGAAAGTTATCATTATTGGAGTGACTGACGGAGTTCAGAAGCAATTCACATGTTAGTAAGAGGGACAGTGAGAGCAGCTATCTTCTCAATAGACAAACTCTAGACACAGAGTGCTTAAAATATTTTAAAGAGTTTCGTGTGAGTACCTTTGAGTTTTACACACACTTGAGGCAGAGTTTTAGAGTCGTTACCGTCACCGAGCTGAAGGGTGTACCCCACTTTACAGCATATACAGCATAGTTTACTTTAGTCTTGGACTAAACTGGATGTTTCTTGGTCAGTAGGCTACTGCCGTGGCCTTAATAACCCGTCTGAGGTTCATAGGTTTGGTCAAACACCATTGGTTCTAGAACTATTAGTACAGAGATGCTAGACAGTTCTCAGGTATTAAACCAGTACTGTGTTGATTATCATATATATATTATATATATATATATATATATATATATATATATATATATATATATATATATATATATTATATATATAGCACAATGTTTTGTTTGGGCGAGATATTGCAAACACCGTTATTTGTGAAGGAGGACTTGTACGTTAACCTGTTGAGATGTAAGATTTATGTAGTGTACAAATTGCAACACGTGATAAACTTATAAACATCTTGAGCATCTTTTTATTGCACCTAATCGTAAGATTTACCTCTTCATTCAGAGGCAGTTTGAGTCGACGGAATGTACTCGGAGCTGGAAGGTGTCTGGGAAGGAATACGGAAGACTTAACTCCATAAATATTAATTCATCAAATATAAATGTCACTTGGGAGATACACTTGTAGAAGTTTCAAGATAATATTTATAGAGATGAATAATTAATATATGAAGATAGATTGATTTCAGTTTATTGAGTTTGTTGACGTGGCAAAGTTTTGCTTTGTTGCAACTGCCCCGAAGGTTCACGGTGGGTCCTGGCCTCACTAAACCCATCTGCCTGTATAGTTACCCAAGCTCAGCGCTGTCAACCTCACCTCACTGGCTCAGATGAGCTTATAGATCAAGATCAATTACAATAACTATTTTCCTCTAGTGTATAACACAGACTGATCTCTACCTCGCAAAACACGACGCCCTTCTGTTTCTTTATTTCATTTTAAGTGCAGGGATGTCTTAGCAGTATTATAAGGGCTGGGTAGATCAGTCCACTGGTGCCCCGTGTCCTGAAGATGGGCACTGGGGCCCCCTTACCCAGATGATGGGCCTCGCCCATCCGCTAAAGTATAAAATTATCCTTGGATAATTATGTAGAAATGATTTATATTATGAATATAATTTCAAAAGGGAATTGAATCCCGGGCCTTTCCCGCGGGAGGTAGAGTATCTATCCACTCTGTCAAGAGACCTCGTGATCACTACGGCAGCATGGGGCCCTCTAGAAGTGTGGGTCCCTGGGCACCTGCCCAGTCTGCCCATATATTAAGACGGCAGTGTTTAAGTGGTCATTTTTATCTGATTAAACTCCTAATGTGATTTATTTAATTTGATATCTTTTTGGACAAGTCTGCATGTGAGGTTTGTTGCCACTTGGAAAGCTGCAGAACATAACGTTTGTACCACTTGCTCTAACAGAGCTCCTGAGATAATGTCTTCCTTCAGAGATGGAAGCTGGGAGTTCAGTAACCTCTTGAACTGTTCAGTTCCCTTCTCTTGTTAAGCGAAGATACACACAGACGGACTGAGGGCTCGCTGGCCCCTTATTAACTATCTTGAGATAATTTCGGAGCTTAGTGTCCTCGCGGCCCGGTCTTCGACCAGGCCTCCACCCCCAGGAAGCAGCCCGTGACAGCTGACTAACTCCCAGGTACCTAATTACTTCTAGGTAACAGGAGCATCAGGGTGAAAGAAACTCTGCCCATTGTTTCTCGCCGGCGCCCGGGATCGAACCCGGGACCACAGGATCACGCGCCCAGTGTTATGTTCGCTCAGCCATCGACTCCCCAAATGAGGTAAGATTGGCATAACTGTTCTTCAGTGTTACCAACAGAGGGACCGTGCCCAACAGCCTCTCCTTGGTCAGATGGGTAAGGTGTTAGTTACTATTATGAACTAAGTAAACACATTAGTTTCTAACTATTAGCAACTGTCGATTGCTCCTCCAGGCTTGGCATAAGCCATAAGTTATGTTCCTTAATTATAATATATTTAACATAGTGTTATACCACTGGGACAGTAAAGTGTATATTAAGTTGATATAGTATATATAACATGTTATTTATATTGCCTAATTTTGGTATATGTTACAAGTTGCAAACACTTGTATCTTATATTTCATTTATATTTATATTGCTTGAGAGCTGATATTGGGCGATTGTTGTGTACATGGCGTCAGTGAGGAGGCCGTGCGCCTGGACGTGACTTGAGTGTTGGACTTGGACTTGACGGGGTTGACGAGGCAGGTGTTGGGAGGAACGACATGTCTGCCAACCTCCATTGTTATGGCTGTTCCATATGATTTTCTCTATAATTGTTGTTCTTGCTAGTTACTGTGAATTGTATTATATACATGTAATAATACATTAGCTTCAGCCCGTTTTACTGTGTTGGAAGAACTTGTGTCGGGTGTTAGTGGCGTGAGTGTATGCTGATTTTGTAGCGTTGGTAATTGTGTGTGAAACGTCGGGAGGGTGTTTCTGGCGGCTGTGGTTAGTGCACCTGAGGGCAGGGAGGCGAGAGGGCGCCTGCTGGCTACCGTAAGTTAAGACTGCTCAGTTTTGTGCAGTCATTAATACTTCTAGCTTTCCCTTCATTGTAATACAATGAAAACTAACATAGAAATTTGATCAAATCTAACTTAACTAAGTCAGTAATTCATGTTCCTTACAAAATTAGTTCTTTTTTAACAATAATATCTGGAAAGAAATATCTGAAAACAACGAAAATCATTCGGCCTGTTAGGTAAATTGGACCTTGCGTACTATGCCTAGTAGTTCTCTTCTGGATATTAGGCATATATACATATATTGTATGAGCTGTATGTATGTATGTATGTATGTATGTATGTATGTATGTATGTATGTATGTATGTATGTATGTATGTATGTATTTGTATGTATTGTATTTTTAAGCCTCCTAATTTCTTGAGAAAGTAAATTAATATGTAAAGATAATATTGCAGCTACCAGAATTGTCTCGGTAGAGTAACGTTATTCTGACCAGGGCAGAGAGTAGCCGTCAAGTTTAACAGTGAATGAGGCTAGTTCTTGCAAATTATTATCTTGAGTGTGTATACTATCCTTTAGTAAACGATGTTATTAGTTTCAAAGACTGTTTCCATGCACCTCTATTTGAATGATGTACTTTGATCCACACGAGAGTTTTAGCAGTTTACACTGTGACAGTAAAATTGTCCCTGTGAAGGGATTATCAAATTTCACAGGAAGAAAGCGAGGCTAAACTGTAAGACAACAGCAGACAGTCGTTGAAGTATCCAGTCTTATCAGGTGTTTGCCGAGACGTTACCGACATCCTCACGGAACCTTAGGCCAGAATAGGAAATACATCATCGGAAGTATCCTAGCCTCTCAAATTGCTCGGGAGCTACTACTGGTGCAACTTATTTTGAGTAGTCATATTCTTGGCACTGGGTGAAGAGATGTCCACCCCGATAACTAAGGAACGACGGTCCAGCGAGTGTGACAACCACGGATACACCTCTACGACACCTCTTGTTCTACCTTACTACCCTTTGGGGGCAATGTGTGTACTGGCGGTCCTCGGAGGAGCTGCTGCTAAGGTTTCTGTCTTTCTGGTGCAACATAGGGGTAAAGTGTTGACTCCTCCTCCTCCTTCTTGATAGTAGGTGCAGTTTGCATGAAGGGTTTGTCCTCCCGATGACTGCACCAGTACTGATGTTGGTAGAGGCGTTTATGTTGAGGTTGATAAGAGTTTCAAAAGTGCTTGTTGCGTTGTGGTGTAGACAGAGGAGCGGCGACTAAAACAGAGGTGTGTGTTAGAGGGAGACTTGCCGCACCGTAGGGCGGTATGTAGTGTTTATGGCGTCAGCTGATCCTTGGTGTTGCGACGAGGCAGTTGTTTTCCGTGTTCAGCTGTAGGTGGCGCCAGGTATAAATGTGGCGCGGGTCAGATGTGACCCAATTTGTTGGTCGACTGAAGATATTTAGCCAGTGCTTTGACTATTTGGTATTTTTCCTGCAACGAGTGGTCACCGCCTCCTAATATATGCTCGATGGTAAAGGGTATTTTAAGTGCGATAAATACTTGTTTGAAATTTACTCTGACACAATGATGTCGGAAGCAGTGAAGGAGATAGTGTTCGATTGTTTCAGGCACCTGACAGTGGATGCAGAGTTCGTTGATGTCTGTTCTGTACTTAGAGCTGTGTGCTGCTAGTGTGGTGTGTCCCAGCCTTAATCTGGTCATCGTTACATCAATTTCTCTGCTTTTATATCTGACATGTTTCCAAGTTTGCCATTTCTTTTTAATCGACCCATATTACAAAGGTGAGCACCCATATTACAAAGGTGAGCACCCATATTACAAAGGTGAGCACCCATATTACAAAGGTGAGCACCCATATTACAAAGGTGAGCACCCATATTACAAAGGTGAGCACCCATATTACAAAGGTGAGCACCCATATTACAAAGGTGAGCATGACGTTTTCCATTTCGTTGCAAAATCTTGGGTGATGGTATTTTTGAAGGCTCCTTTACTTGCAACAGAAGGAATTGGATGATGGGTAATGTGAGGTTGATCTACAAGTTCATTATGGAGAGTACCACAATGCGCTGGAACCCGTTGGCTAGAGGTGTCATTGATGTTCATGAAGTTGGTGACCCCGATTAAGGGACGGGGGAGGGGGGGGGGGTCGTACTCTAGTACAGGTTCCCCGAGCAGTGCGCCGATACGATGGGACATCCTTCTCCACCCTCGTAACAAATTATTATTATATATATATATATATATATATATATATATATATATATATATATATATATATATATATATATATATGTCGTACCTAGTAGCCAGAACGCACTTCTCAGCCTACTATGCAAGGCCCAATTTGCCTAATAAGCCAAGTTTTCCTGAATTAATATATTTTTTCTTATGAAATAATAAAGCTACCCATTTCATTATGTGTGAGGTCAATTTTTTTATTGGAGGTAAAATTAACGTAGATATATGACCGAACCTAACCAGCCCTACCTAACCTAACCTATCTTTATAGGTTAGGTTACATTAGGTAGCCGAAAAAGTTAAGTTAGGTTAGGTTAGGTAGGTTAGGTAGTCGAAAAACAATTAATTCATGAAAACTTGGCTTATTAGGCAAATCGGGCCTTGCATAGTAGGCTGAGAAGTGCGTTCTGGCTACTAGGTACGACATATATAATATATATATATATATATATATATATATATATATATGTCGTACCTAATAGCCAGAACGCACTTCTCAGCCTACTATTCAAGGCCCGATTTGCCTAATAAGCCATGTTTTCATGAATTAATGTTTTTTCGTCAACCTAACCTACCTAACCTAACCTAACCTAGCTTTTTTTGGCTACCTAACCTAACCTTACCTATAAATATAGGTTAGGTTAGGTTAGGTAGGGTTGGTTAGGTTCGGTCATATATCTACGTTAATTTTAACTCCAATAAAAAAAAATTGACCTCATACATAGAGAAAAGTGTTGCTTTATCATTTCATAAGAAAAAAATTATAGTAAATATATTAATTCAGGAAAACTTGGCTTATTAGGCAAATCGGGCCTTGAATAGTAGGCTGAGAAGTGAGTTCTGGCTACTAGGTACGACATATATATATATATATATATATACATTATATATATATATATATATATATACATTATATATATATATATATATATATATATATATATATATATATATATATATATATATATATATATATATATATATATATATATATATATATATATATATATATATATATATATATATATATATATATATATATATATGGGGGTACCACCTCTGGTGCAATTATAGGGACCCACAGCGTCAAAGAAGGGAACAGAGCATTCAGAGAAAAACTTGCCATTTAACTCTGCATACATATGAGTGTTCGCTTCTCCTACTACCCCCCTTTTTTATGGTGTACACTTTATTATGCAAGGTTATACAGTTACATATCTGATTTTATACAAAAAATGACCATTGAGAGGACACAAGAAAAAATTCGCTTCCTAGAGGCTGTAGATTTCCTCAAACTCCTCCGACGCCGGGCAGGAACCGAGGATGCAGCGGGCATTCCCCCTCTGGATCGCGACACTGAGGCGCTGAAAGAGAAAACTTGCTGCTCTTGTAGTGTCAATGAGCTTGGAACCAAGATCCTTAAGAAACCTTCCACTCTCTCCCCATGGGCCTAGGGTCTCAGACCCTGTTGGAACGAAATTGTACCGATGACAGAATGTATATATAACAGAATAAAAATAAATATTCTGTTATTACTATAATATTATATAAGATAATTTATTATATATATATATATATATATATATATATATATATATATATATATATATATATATATATATATATATATATATATATATATATATATATATAGCTTTTCAGGGTAATCGGTAATTAGATTGTGCCTTCATCCAAGTCTTTTTTCGTAAAAGTAATACTTGGGGTCTCGGTAGTTGAGTTGAGTTCGTTCTCGACACACAATCGGGAATCCCGGGCCGTTCATTTGGCCCCACTTCCTGTGTGTGTGAAATGATTGGTCACACTTCCTGTGTGTGTGAAATGATTGGTCACACTTCCTGTGTGTGTGAAATGATTGGTCACACTTCCTGTGTGTGAAATGATTGGTCACACTTCCTGTGTGTGTGAAATGATTGGTCACACTTCCTGTGTGTGTGAAATGATTGGTCACACTTCCTGTGTGTGTGAAATGATTGGCCACACTTCCTGTGTGTGTGAAATGATTGGTCACACTTCCTGTGTGTGAAATGATTGGTCACACTTCCTGTGTGTGTGAAATGATTGGTCACACTTCCTGTGTGTGTGAAATGATTGGTCACACTCCTGTGTGTGTGAAATGATTGGTCACACTTCCTGTGTGTGTGAAATGATTGGCCACACTTCCTGTGTGTGTGAAATGATTGGTCACACTTCCTGTGTGTGAAATGATTGGTCACACTTCCTGTGTGTGTGAAATGATTGGTCACACTTCCTGTGTGTGTGAAATGATTGGTCACACTTCCTGTGTGTGTGAAATGATTGGTCACACTTCCTGTGTGTGTGAAATGATTGGTCACACTTCCTGTGTGTGTGAAATGATTGGTCACACTTCCTGTGTGTGTGAAATGATTGGTCACACTTCCTGTGTGTGAAATGATTGGTCACACTTCCTGTGTGTGAAATGATTGGTCACACTTCCTGTGTGTGTGAAATGATTGGTCACACTTCCTGTGTGTGAAATGATTGGTCACACTTCCTGTGTGTGTGAAATGATTGGTCACACTTCCTGTGTGTGAAATGATTGGTCACACTTCCTGTGTGTGAAATGATTGGTCACACTTCCTGTGTGTGTGAAATGATTGGTCACACTTCCTGTGTGTGTGAAATGATTGGTCACACTTCCTGTGTGTGTGAAATGATTGGTCACACTTCCTGTGTGTGTGAAATGATTGGTCACACTTCCTGTGTGTGTGAAATGATTGGTCACACTTCCTGTGTGTGTGAAATGATTGGTCACACTTCCTGTGTGTGTGAAATGATTGGTCACACTTCCTGTGTGTGTGAAATGATTGGTCACACTTCCTGTGTGTGTGAAATGATTGGTCACACTTCCTGTGTGTGTGAAATGATTGGTCACACTTCCTGTGTGTGTGAAATGATTGGTCACACTTCCTGTGTGTGTGAAATGATTGGTCACACTTCCTGTGTGTGTGAAATGATTGGTCACACTTCCTGTGTGTGTGAAAGGTTTGGTCACACTTCCTGTGTGTGAAATGATTGGTCACACTTCCTGTGTGTGTGAAATGATTGGTCACACTTCCTGTGTGTGTGAAATGATTGGTCACACTTCCTGTGTGTGTGAAATGATTGGTCACACTTCCTGTGTGTGTGAAATGATTGGTCACACTTCCTGTGTGTGTGAAATGATTGGTCACACTTCCTGTGTGTGTGAAAGGTTTGGTCACACTTCCTGTGTGTGATATGATTGGTCACACTTCCTGTGTGTGTGAAATGATTGGTTACACTTCCTGACATCTAATGCCTCTGAAATGTATAGAAAAACAGTATTTATAATTTCCGAAACCTTCATCTTCTCGCCTGTCGTTATCCGACACTCAAATCGTAAACATAACAAAAATATTCACAACAGCGATAGTAATAACAGTTGTTAAGGTTGACAACCTCATCTCTCAGCAGGTAAAGGAAGCTCAGTTCACATAGCCTAACGCGATATTTTATACTCATCAGCGTTGGTTTCTTCATTTTGATTGTTGCCGCCGAAGGCGGCTAGTTTATTGTGCACCCCATACTCATCCTGTGAGCGGTAGCGCAAAAGCATTACAGAGGGCACAAAAGGTCTTTATCAGACCTCATCTTAGATTATTACATAAACAATTTCTTCAATCCTTCACACCTTATAGATACAATGTCAGCTAGTTCCAGAGAAAGTGCTATTACAAGAGCTACATATTTACAGTAAGTCATCATACATTAATGGTAGGTCTTGTCGTTAATACATAATAGTTTGGCCAATGGGGATATTACAGAGTCATAGGGGAGCTTCTGTTTATTATTAGTCCTCACAATACACTACTTGTTTCTGAATCTCATATGTCGTTCATCTACTGGAAGCAAAATGTGGGTATGACACTGTACTTGTTTTTATGAGATTCAGAGGCCGCCATTGTTCTTTTGTACTTTATCAGTCTGCAGTTTCAGGAAAGCAAGTATGTCTACATACCGGTTGTAGTGCTTTATTACAGCTTCTTTTTCCTCTTCAGTCAGCACATCACCTGTCACCATTTCTTTAAATGTGTCACGGCGGAACCATCTGGGATGTGGCGTGCGCGGCCCGAGGCGGGCATCCACGTCCAGTTGAACTTCGGCCGGACATCTTACACACATGTGGTCAGGAGACTGTAAACAAGTGACTGAACACGAGGAGAATGATGCGTGGCCCTCAAAGAATAATTTTATTTATATCATCTTTGTACATTTGGCAATGAATAAACCCACGAGGGAGAAATACTCGGGTGTCTTGCCTTGGAAACTTGTGTGCAGAAAGTCACTGTCGTGTGACAGTGTCTTGTGACAGTGTCTTGTGTACATTCAACTCAATAATCAATACAAGAAATATTTATTAACTACAGGAGATAAAATATGTTGCTATCTGCTTGAGTAAGCCTAGTAAAATGTATATAAAAATAACAGATCACAGCTCTCCAGGCCCGCCTCTGACACGCTCAAGGCACCTACAACAAGAGAAGTGCGGACCCAATGTTCAGTTCACTAGCACTGAAGATCTATACCAAGGAAAGTGTGTTTAACACTATAATACCTCTCAGTTCGTCTAGTTAAAGGGAGCTACATTGTGAATAAGAGCGGGTAAATGCTTTTTTGCGAGCTATATTAGAATTGATTATGCATTTTTTTATTTAAATATTATCTTTTGTAGGATATAGATATTTGTGCTGCAAAACTAGCCTCGTCATTTTGAATGAAATTCATAAGATGGCCTAAACATAATTGCTAAAGATCGCAGCTGACTTTTATCACAATTACTGAGAATTCATATTATTCAGAGCCGGAAATATCGTACACAAAAGTAAACAAAATGAGAACACTTTCCCAGTGAACTCACATTTTTCTACTGTTAAAACAAATCTTATTTCCTTGAATTATGGACCTTCAATATAGGTTAAGACAGTGTGGGAGCCAGAGCGAAGCAGAAAGCCGGACAACGATCACCACCTGATCCAAATCACACACTCACACACACACACACACACACACACACACACACACACACACACACACACACACACACACACACACACACACACACACACAGTTCCTCAGTCCAGCTGAGGTCTGCCCTGTAAAACACGTGACTTGCTCATGTATACAACATCGATATCATCACAAACTGTCAGTTATGTCTACTAAATAGATACATTTAACGCCCCCCCCCCAAACCCCTTCATCCCCGGGATTCGTGTGTATAGAAGCTCCGCTGTATTGATGTATACATGTGTCTTGATGTTCATACGCTCTGTATGTCTGGCATAAAGATATACATAATATCTGCGTGTAGACATATGAACATATTATGTGTACGTTGACGTGTGACTAGTATTGCCCCACCATCATACACCGTGTGTATACATACATCATGCTAATTAGATTTTAGGACAATTCACATCTTGAATATGAATTGTGTGTATTTTTGCTTGTCTAGTTTGTTTGTTGGTGTACAAAATGGTCAAGTAATATGTACCTGTGTGTGCGTTTAGGTGAACACCAGCCCACATATACCGGTAAATGTTCACCTGTCCATCTATACCGGCCAATGAACACAGTTCCCAGATATGAACAGCACAGCGCCACAAGTACTGTGCTGTCTGTGTCTCACCTCAGGAAAAGTGGGAAAGTAAGATTAAGAGAAAACTGAAAGTGGTTCAAGGTCTCATATTATGAAGTGTTCCACCGGTGGTCGACAACCATCCCCACACACACACACGATACATCTGGACGTAGTCACATGTTCAGCGGGTGTCGTGTGTGTGTGTGTGTGGCTCTGCGTACTGGCGTGTCCTGGCAGTCCTGACAGGGAGTCACCCGTCAGTATTGTTGGACAGTAGAAGGGACGCTGTGTTCTTCCTTATCCGTCAGCTCACGCAAGAGGTTCCCCTCCTGCAGCGCCTCCGTCACTCGCTCCCACGGGAACCTCGCCTCTCGCTCATCTGTCTCGTCCCGTAGAAAACGTAAGTGTACAGTATGTCGGAAAATTAATAAAATTACTATTTTTCACTTGTTAAACTCATCATTTATATAATAATCTTCAACAGCATCGGAAATTGAAAGAAAAGTTAAAGTGGATTGTGTTATTTACGACGTGGTTGGTGAAGACCCACCTGCCACCTGGCGGCCGACGCGGCGGTAGTTCCTGCTGACACACATCATGCCGTAGACACGGATCCCGGGCACCTGGGCGTAGGTGGGCTGGTCGTGGTTCAAGGGACCCTCTGACACACACACCAAGGTGGGAGATAAATTATTAGTGTCAGTGTTGTTACACAGTAAAGCACTCATCCGTCCAAGGTAACGTACTCTTTGCAGGTTTTAAGTTTATTTATTTTTTAATATATACAAGAGTTCTTACATTCTCGTAAAGTCACTAGCACGTATAGCGTTTCGGGCAGGGCCTTAATCTTTATTTTCCCTGGAATATGACCCGCTAAATCATTTAACAACCAGGTACCCATTCACTACTGGGTGAACAGAGGCTACAGTTAAGGACTGACGCCTAGTCAATCCTCCCCGTACAGGATACGAACCCAGGCTAAGCGCGGGACGAGTGTCTTACCACTGCGCCACGGGAGCAAGTTATGAGCTTGCTGCAACTTCCACTTTGACCTTCATCTTCCCTCCGGAAGCGTGAGTGCGTTTCCAAGAGAAGGCTTTGAGAGAATGAGCCGGTGGTCTAAACATGGCGTCACACACAAAAGAATGGGTCAGCTTGGGCTAGATACAAGAGCAAAGGAAACTACACAACGCATATTGTCCCATGCGAGGTAGCGCCTATTAATACCCACACATTCATGTAGATGTCTAACCTACGTTTGAAACAATCCAGTGATCTCAGCTCTGTTATGTTGCCCGACAATTTGTTTCATAATTCAACAACGATGTTTCCAAACCAGTATTTACCAGGTTTTTTTCTGAATCTAACCTTCTGATTCTATTCAGTTTATAATCATTGTTTCGTGTTCTAATTTTTGCTGGTATATATAAAACCTCGTCTATACTTCAATCTTTCTAGAGAATGGAAATTAATACTAAACACCTTTAGTATTAATTCCTCATGGTAAGGGAGGTTTCTGATTCTGAGATTAACTTGATCGCATACAGAGAGGGGATGATAATGTCCATTTTACGATATAGTGACCAAAACTGGCCTACATAATCTAAACTAGGCCTACATAATCTAAACTAGGCCTACATAATCTAAACTAGGCCTACATAATCTAAACTAGGCCTACATAATCTAAATTAGGCCTACATAATCTAAATTAGGCCTACGTGATCTAAACTAGGCCTAACAAGTGCAAGATAAAGCTGAAGAATAATATTTGGCACTGACGCTTTCAGGAATATTTTCTTGTATTCTATTTACTTTGTTCCGTGCAATTGTTTTATTTTGGCTTAAGTTCCCTGCAAACCCATGACTCTTAGAGCTTTCTAACATTCACACTTTACAAGTTCAACATTGTCCAATCTGGGAACTCTATTACCTAACCTCAGAACCTTACATTTTTCAGCATTAATCTGCCAATCATTTTCCCCCTTTGAAAGCCTGTCTAGATCGTCTTGTAGCGATTTTGAGTCTCCTGTAATTGTTTCCCGCCATATGTTTCCTGCCATATGTTTCCCGCCATATGTTTCCCGCCATATTTTCGTATCGTCAGTAAATTTTAATTGTCGCTGTTCAGTCCTGTGTGTAAATGATTTATATTTACGGTAAACAACAGAGTGGACAGCGCTTAGGATTCGTAGTCCTAAGGTTCTGGGTTCGATCCCCCAGTGTAGACAGAAACAAATGGGTAGAATTTCTTTAACCCTGTTCACCTAGCAGTAAACAGGTACCTGGGAGTTAGACAGCTACTACGGGCTGCTTCCTGGGGGGATGTGTAACAAAAAGGAGGCCTGGTCGAGGACCGGGCCGCGGGGATGCTAAGCCCCGAAGTCATCTCAAGATAACCTCAAGATAAGATCACCCCGCTCCTCCCCGATATAATGACACTAACTTTTTAATGCGTCTCACGTGGTAGGTGACATGGATGAACGACACACATGGGGTATTAATGAGGTCCTATATAAAGAATTTGTCTGATAATGTGAGGTGAGACCTTACGAGAAAGTGAGCATTAAGGCAGAGTATACGTCCAAATGCGCGGGTGTACTAGGAGGACGGGGCTCACCGAGTTTGGAGGAGTCTGGACACTTGCAGATGACCAGGTAGTGAGCCTTCCCAGTGCGTGTGTTCTGGAGGGCGAGGATGGACCAGTCGCGGGGCTTGCGGCACTCCCTCACGCTCCACACCGGCTCGCACGTCTTGATCAATGTGGTCGCCTGGAATGGCCAGAGTTCAGTGCTTGGAGAGGAGGAGGAGGAGCCCTGAGGGACGAGGGGAAGCTTGAGGAACATCAACTGTACCACAACACCTGCTGCTACAATGACAATCATCAATGCTGCTACAATGATAATCATCAATGCTGCTACAATGACAATCATCAATGCTGCTACAATGACAATCATCAAGAGCAGCAGTGAAAAAATAATATAGTCGACAGAAGGCGTTTGGTCAGATGAACTACAACACGATTTTTCATGTATAGATCAAATGCATAAAGACAGAGAAAGGGAAGATTTGTCGACGACACCCTGATCAATATATATGGTCAGGGAAGTGCAAAGACAAAAGTTGAGTTATCTATATAAATATGAATAAAACCATTACGCCAAATATGTCAGTGCTTAGGAACCCAGAGGACAGGCAAAGGCTTAGAGCATCAGTCACTGACACAGAACTGCTAACGTAACATTATTCATCAAAATCTATGATTACTGAAGTCAAGAAAAGTGAGAATTACCTTTAGGTATAGCGAAATGGAAGACGAGGAGACATCAAATCAGGAAGACATCAAGACAGGGAGACATCAAGACAGGGAGACATCAAGACAGGGAGACATCAAGACGGAGACATCAAGACAGGGAGACATCAAGACAGGGAGACATCAAGTGAAGAGACGTGATGTCAAGAGACATGAAGTCAAGAGACATCGTCAAGAGACAAGAAGTCAAGAGACATGAAGTCAGACGGAAGAATAACAATATTACTGTGAATAACAAGAGACAATCAACATCCTGGAAGGAAACAAGAGAAATATGCAAAAAAGAGAACAAGAGTTACGACTACAGGAGCCAATAACATGAATATATGAAGAGAAGAAAATGTGAAGATTCTAACAAAGAAGAGAAGACGTAGAATCAAGAAGAGATTCCTAGAGAGAAAAAGAAGTAACTCTTAAGCAAGAGCAAGAGCGTGCAGGTGTACAGTAAAGTCGGAACTGCTACTAGTTTGAAGAAGACGACATATAAGACGAAAATAATACGAATGAGTTAACAAGAGAAGGTGAAGGGTAAAGAAGGGAACAAGAGAATATAATGACAACAAGATGGTAGAGACAGCAGAAAAGAGAGACTATGAAAAATCATTAACAATGAAGACATACATGAAAAAAGAGCCAAGTGGCATGTGAGTGGTTAGAGAGGAACAGCCAAGTGGACTATTTAACACTGGGAAGGGGTCAGGATAAAGATTTGGGACGGGACGGGGGAAAGGAATGGTGTCCAACTACTTTAACAGTCGGAGATTTAACTCCGACGTCCATGAAGGGAGACCGTCGCTCTACCGTCCAGCCCAAGAGGAGAGAGCAAGAAGAGAAAGTGGAGCCATGAAGAGTGTGACATACCTTAGCGTCGGGGGCGCCCATAGAGAGCTCGATGGTGCGGTCATCGTTGGGGAGGAAGGAGGTGCTGCAGGGGTCGCTGCCCTGCGGACACTGGCACAGCGGCTGCGTGAACTGGAGGCGCTTGTACACCGCGTTGCACACCTGGGGAAGATCACTGTGGTCACCAAGAGGTTCACTCTCGCCCTTGTTGCTCACTTAACACCGGTACCATGTTGTCTGGCGTCTCCACCGTGAGAAGTGGCAGATACACTCACATCTGAGTGTATCAGTGTGAGTATCTCAGAACTGACTGGGCGCCAAGCTGGCTGCTGCACCAACCGCCAGCTGGGTGCTTCACCAACCGCCAGCTGGGTGCTGCACCAACCGCCAGCTAGCTGCTGCACCAACCGCTGAGGTCATGGATTGTACAGAGGTTAATAATTTATGTTTAATTTTGACTTTAATCCTTAAGCTCAGCTTAAAAAATAAAAATTGACACGAGGGCAGCTCCTAATGTATACCTACACAAACTCAGATATTCATACACCCTATACATACATACATCAGCTATACATACACACTTAGCTACGCCTTGGGGAATCCATTGATTCTTTGTCTATTGTATTTGCAGGGAAGTTCTCCCGTAAATCAACACCCTCATTATCCAACACTATCTACCCATGCACATCCTAAGTCTAAATTTATGCAATTTATATCGTCTCGTGTTGTATTTTGTGTTGTATATTAAATCTTTGTTGTTCTCTTCGTCCATTTGTATCTACTTTCTTCATGGTGTCATTTAAACTTTGTCTTTCTAGAACATGTTAATTCATATTTTTAATCACTTTATAAGAAAGGTTTCTAATTCCTGGGATTAACTTTGTGATTGATCTCTGAACGCCTTCAAGTGAATTAATGTCCATCTTGTAGTACGGGGACCTAAACTGATCTGTAGAGCGTAAAAAGAGCTTTAGAGAAGCAATATAAAGCTAATAGTACTAGATGTCTTATTGCTAACACTTAGAAATAGAACTGTCATATTTGCTTTATTGTATACATTTTGACATATATATGATTAGGAACCCTGAATAATTATGACTAGACAATCTTTTTGCCATTCAGATTTCCCTATTTCAACACTGCGCAAGTGGCAGGGGAGAGCAATGTTACTATTACCTCAGCTCTGCCAATCTCTCATCCCTTATACTGGCCACGTAAGACCCATTCACAGCGGCGGCGTGTCGTCTCAATATATTTCCTGTTTTTTGTAGTTTGCTGTTTAACCCCCTGTCTTAAACAGTGCTACAGGACACAGTCAGGGCGCGCCACTCACAACGGCCTCCCACTCGGCCGTAACTTATTAAGAGTTAAGCGTCATTAACTCTGCTTTCTTGGATATAACCACAAGGGGGAACTATGGTGGTCCTGGACTCACCTGCTGGGTGGCACACTAGGAGTGTTGACTCACCTGCTGGGTGACACACTAGAGGTGTTGACTCACCTGCTGGGTGGCACACTAGGGGGTGTTGACTCACCTGCTGGGTGGTACACTAGAGGTGTTGACTCACCTGCTGGGTGGCACACTAGAGGTGTTGACTCACCTGCTGGGTGGCACACTAGGGGTGTTGACTCACCTGCTGGGTGGTACACTAGGGGTGTTGACTCACCTGCTGGGTGGCACACTAGGGGGTGTTGACTCACCTGCTGGGTGGCACACTAGAGGTGTTGACTCACCTGCTGGGTGGCACACTAGAGGTGTTGACTCACCTGCTGGGTGGCACACTAGAGGTGTTGACTCACCTGCTGGGTGGCACACTAGGGGTGTTGACTCACCTGCTGGGTGGTACACTAGGGGTGTTGACTCACCTGCTGGGTGGCACACTAGGAGTGTTGACTCAACTGCTGGGTGACACACTAGGGGTGTTGACTCACCTGCTGGGTGGCACACTAGGGGGTGTTGACTCACCTGCTGGGTGGCACACTAGAGGTGTTGACTCACCTGCTGGGTGGCACACTAGGGGTGTTGACTCACCTGCTGGGTGGCACATTAGGGGTGTTGACTCACCTGCTGGGTGGCACACTAGGGGTGTTGACTCACCTGCTGGGTGGCACATTAGGGGTGTTGACTCACCTGCTGGGTGGCACATTAGGGGTGTTGACTCACCTGCTGAGTGGCACACTAGGGGTGTTGACTCACCTGCTGGGTGGCACATTAGGGGTGTTGACTCACCTGCTGGGTGGCACATTAGGGGTGTTGACTCACCTGCTGGGTGGCACACTAGGGGTGTTGACTCACCTGCTGGGTGGCACACTAGGGGTGTTGACTCACCTGCTGGGTGGCACTCTAGGGCTGTTGACTCACCTGCTGCGTGGCACACTAGGGGTGTTGACTCACCTGCTGGGTGGCACACTAGGGGTGTTGACTCACTTGCTGGGTGGCACATTAGGGGTGTTGACTCACCTGCTGGGTGGCACATTAGTGGTGTTGACTCACCTGCTACGTGGCACACTAGGGGTGTTGACTCACCTGCTGGGTGGCACACTAGGGGTGTTGACTCACCTGCTGGGTGGCACACTAGGAATGTTGACTCACCTGCTAGGTTGCACACTAGGGGTGTTGATTCACCTGCTGGGTGGCACACTAGGGAGTGTTGACTCACCTGCTGGGTGGCACACTAGAGGTGTTGACTCACCTGCTGGGTGGCACACTAAAGGTGTTGACTCACCTGCTGGGTGGCACACTAGGGGTGTTGACTCACCTGCTGGGTGGTACACTAGGGGTGTTGACTCACCTGCTGGGTGGCACACTAGGAGTGTTGACTCAACTGCTGGGTGACACACTAGGGGTGTTGACTCACCTGCTGGGTGGCACACTAGGGGGTGTTGACTCACCTGCTGGGTGGCACACTAGAGGTGTTGACTCACCTGCTGGGTGGCACACTAGAGGTGTTGACTCACCTGCTGGGTGGCACACTAGGGGTGTTGACTCACCTGCTGGGTGGCACATTAGGGGTGTTGACTCACCTGCTGGGTGGCACACTAGGGGTGTTGACTCACCTGCTGGGTGGCACATTAGGGGTGTTGACTCACCTGCTGGGTGGCACATTAGGGGTGTTGACTCACCTGCTGAGTGGCACACTAGGGGTGTTGACTCACCTGCTGGATGGCACATTAGGGGTGTTGACTCACCTGCGGGGTGGCACATTAGGGGTGTTGACTCACCTGCTGGGTGGCACACTAGGGGTGTTGACTCACCTGCTGGGTGGCACACTAGGGGTGTTGACTCACCTGCTGGGTGGCACTCTAGGGTTGTTGACTCACCTGCTGCGTGGCACACTAGGGTTGTTGACTCACCTGCTGCGTGGCACACTAGGGGTGTTGACTCACCTGCTGGGTGGCACACTAGGGGTGTTGACTCACCTGCTGGGTGGCACATTAGGGGTGTTGACTCACCTGCTGGGTGGCACATTAGGGGTGTTGACTCACCTGCTGCGTGGCACACTAGGGGTGTTGACTCACCTGCTGGGTGGCACACTAGGGGTGTTGACTCACCTGCTGGGTGGCACACTAGGAGTGTTGACTCACCTGCTAGGTGGCACACTAGGAGTGTTGACTCACCTGCTGGGTGGCACACTAGGGGTGTTGACTCACCTGCTGGGTGGCACACTAGGAGTGTTGACTCACCTGCTGGGTGGCACACTAGGAGTGTTGACTCACCTGCTGGGTGGCACACTAGGGGTGTTGACTCACCTGCTGGGTGGCACACTAGGGGTGTTGACTCACCTGCTGGGTGGCACACTAGGGGTGTTGACTCACCTGCTGGGTGGCAAACTAGGGGTGTTGACTCACCTGCTGGGTGGCACACTAGGGGTGTTGATTCACCTGCTGGGTGGCACACTAGGGGTGTTGACTCACCTGCTGGATGGCACACTAGGGGTGTTGACTCACCTGCTGGGTGGCACACTAGGGGTGTTGACTCACCTGCTGGGTGGCACACTAGGGGTGTTGACTCACCTGCTGAGTGGAACACTAGGAGTGTTGACTCACCTACTGGGTGGCACACTAGGGGTGTTGACTCACCTGCTGGGTGGCACACTAGGGGTGTTGACTCACCTGCTGGGTGGCACACTAGGGGTGTTGACTCACCTGCTGGGTGGCACACTAGGGGTGATGACTCACCTGCTGGGTGGCAGACTAGGGGTGTTGACTCACCTGCTGGGTGGCACACTAGGGGTGTTGACTCACCTGCTGGGTGGCACACTAGGGGTGTTGGCTCACCTGCTGGGTGGCACACTAGGGGTGTTGACTCACCTGCTGGGTGGCACACTAGGGGTGTTGACTCACCTGCTGGGTGGCACACTAGGGGTGATGACTCACCTGCTGGGTGGCACACTAGGGGTGTTGATTCACCTGCTGGGTGGCACACTAGGGGGTGTTGACTCACCTGCTGGGTGGCACACTAGGGGTGTTGACTCACCTGCTGGGTGGCACACTAGGGGTGTTGACTCACCTGCTGGGTGGCACACTAGGGGTGTTGACTCACCTGCTGGGTGGCACACTAGGGGTGTTGACTCACCTGCTGGGTGGCACACTCCGGGAGGTTGAAGAGGTGCTGGTTATGGGGGTAGTAGTGGTAGTGAAGGTCCTCCTGCAGGAAGAAAAAGATATATATTATAAAGTGATTCGTATTGACGACTTAGTGACTTATGCACCTCGAACCCGTCCCTTGTTTCCAGTGGTTAGGTATTGTCCTGTAAATGTCTCCAGTGGTGAGGTATTACCCTGTAAATGTCTCCAGTGGTGAGGTATTGTCTTGTAAATGTCTCCAGTGGTGAAGTATTGTCTTGTAAATGTCTCCAGTGGTGAAGTATTGTCTTGTAAATGTCTCCAGTGGTGAAGTATTGTCTTGTAAATGTCTCCAGTGGTGAAGTATTGTCTTGTAAATGTCTCCAGTGGTGAGGTATTGTCCTGTAAATGTCTCCAGTGGTGAGGTATTACCCTGTAAATGTCTCCAGTGGTGAGGTATTGTCCTGTAAATGTCTCCAGTGGTGAGGTATTACCCTGTAAATGTCTCCAGTGGTGAGGTATTGTCTTGTAAATGTCTCCAGTGGTGAGGTATTACCCTGTAAATGTCTCCAGTGGTGAGGTATTGTCCTGTAAATGTCTCCAGTGGTGAGGTATTGTCCTGTAAATGTCTCCAGTGGTGAGGTATTGTCTTGTAAATGTCTCCAGCGGTGAGGTATTAACCTGTAAATGTCTCCAGTGGTGAGGAATTGCCCTGTAAATGTCTCCAGTGGTGAGGTATTGTCCTGTAAATGTCTCCAGTGGTGAGGTATTGTCCTGTAAATGTCTCCAGTGGTGAGGTATTGCCCTGTAAATGTCTCCAGTGGTGAGGTATTGTCCTGTAAATGTCTCCAGTGGTGAGGTATTGTCCTGTAAATGTCTCCAGTGGTGAGGTATTGTCTTGTAAATGTCTCCAGTGGTGAGGTATTGACCTGTAAATGTCTCCAGTGGTGAGGAATTGCCCTGTAAATGTCTCCAGTGGTGAGGTATTGTCCTGTAAATGTCTCCAGTGGTGAGGTATTGTCCTGTAAATGTCTCCAGTGGTGAGGTATTGCCCTGTAAATGTCTCCAGTGGTGAGGTATTGTCCTGTAAATGTCTCCAGTGGTGAGGTATTGTCCTGTAAATGTCTCCAGTGGTGAGGTGGTATGTGGTGCCACCCCACACCCACTTGGGTGAGGGTCCTGTTGAGCACTTCTAGGTTTAATCCCTCTATGTCATATACACATTAATCCACTTTAACAATAAGGTCTCAATCTAAACTATGGATACCGCGGGAAGGTCAACTCTGGCCGTGTAGCTCCAACCCGTCCACTCCAGTTCCCACAACCCACACAAAACAGTGTACTACATCTGTGTTAACCTGTTGACCACGTATAAGACAGCCATGAATGTGTGCGAGGCGCTATGAATGATAGAACCCTTGTTGTTTAGCCGTTGGGGATTTTGACGTCAAGCTACTGTGTACTGTGTGGGAGGACGGGGCGAGATCACTGCTCTGCCTTAACAGTCTTGTGTATCAGAAGTTACAGTGACATCACTCACGTGAACCTTCCTTGCTCCAGCACCTCACTATCTCCTCGTCACTCACTATACGGTGCTTTATATCTCCCCACACTGTTATCTTTATAGTGTTCACCGTACAGCTACTGTGTTATAACTCTCCCATTATCTTTACAGTGTTCACCGTGCAGCTGTACCACTCTAATGCACTACTGTGTACCATTGTTTACAATGTGCACTCTAGTCACGTACCTACAGTGCACTGTAGGTACGACTACAGTGCACTGTGTAGTGCACTGTAGATTAGAGCATCTGACAGCTGATTGGACAGCGCTTCAGATTCATAATCCTGAGGTTACGGGTTCGATCCTCGGTGAAGGCGGAGACAAACGGGCAAAATGTTTCTTTCACCCTGATGCTTCTGTTCACCTAGAAGTAAATAAGTAACTGGTAGTTAGACAGCTGCTACGGGCTGCTTCCTGGGGGTGTGTAACAAAATCGGAGGCCTGGTCGAGGACCGGGCCGCGGGGACGCTAAGCCCCGAAATCATCTCAAGATAACCTCAAGATAATCACCATCACCAGGAACCCCTATGGGAACACAGAACATCTGCCAGTTACTATTCCTGTACCAATGATAGGGTGTTCCTGTACTCTCCAGCTCCTGTACCAATGATAGGGTGTTCCTGTACTCCAGCTCCTGTACCAATGATAGGGTGTTCCTGTACTCCAGCTCCTGTACCAATGACAGGGTGTTCCTGTACTCCAGCTCCTGTACCGATGACAGGGTGTTCCTGTACTCCAGCTCCTGTACCAATGATAAGGTGTTCCTGTACTCCAGCTCCTGTACCAATGATAGGGTGTTCCTGTACTCCAGCTCCTGTACCGATGATAGGGTGTTCCTGTATTTCAGCTCCTGTACCAATGATAGGGTGTTCCTGTACTCCAGCTCCTGTACCAATGATAGGGTGTTCCTGTACTCCAGCTCCTGTACCGATGACAGGGTGTTCCTGTACTCCAGCTCCTGTACCGATGACAGGGTGTTCCTGTACTCTCCAGCTCCTGTACCAATGATAAGGTGTTCCTGTACTCCAGCTCCTGTACCAATGATAGGGTGTTCCTGTACTCCAGCTCCTGTACCGATGATAGGGTGTTCCTGTATTTCAGCTCCTGTACCAATGATAGGGTGTTCCTGTACTCTCCAGCTCCTGTACCAATGACAGGGTGTTCCTGTACTCCAGCTCCTGTACCAATGACAGGGTGTTCCTGTACTCCAGCTCCTGTACCAATGACAGGGTGTTCCTGTATTTCAGCTCCTGTACCAATGATAGGGTGTTCCTGTACTCCAGCTCCTGTACCAATGATAGGGTGTTCCTGTACTCCAGCTCCTGTACCAATGACAGGGTGTTCCTGTACTCCAGCTCCTGTACCGATGACAGGGTGTTCCTGTACTCCAGCTCCTGTACCAATGATAAGGTGTTCCTGTACTCCAGCTCCTGTACCAATGATAGGGTGTTCCTGTACTCCAGCTCCTGTACCGATGATAGGGTGTTCCTGTACTCTCCAGCTCCTGTACCAATGACAGGGTGTTCCTGTACTCCAGCTCCTGTACCAATGACAGGGTGTTCCTGTATTTCAGCTCCTGTACCAATGATAGGGTGTTCCTGTACTCTCCAGCTCCTGTACCAATGACAGGGTGTTCCTGTACTCCAGCTCCTGTACCAATGATAGGGTGTTCCTGTACTCCAGCTCCTGTACCAATGATAGGGTGTTCCTGTACTCTCCAGCTCCTGTACCAATGATAGGGTATTCCTGTACTCTCCAGCTCCTGTACCAATGATAGGGTGTTCCTGTACTCTCCAGCTCCTGTACCAATGATAGGGTGTTCCTGTACTCTCCAGCTCCTGTACCAATGATAGGGTATTCCTGTACTCTCCAGCTCCTGTACCAATGATAGGGTGTTCCTGTACTCTCCAGCTCCTGTACCAATGATAGGGTGTTCCTGTACTCTCCAGCTCCTGTACCGATGATAGGGTGTTCCTGTATTTCAGCTTCTGTACCAATGATAGGGTGTTCCTGTACTCCAGCTCCTGTACCGATGATAGGGTGTTCCTGTACTCTCCAGCTCCTGTACCAATGATAGGGTGTTCCTGTACTCCAGCTCCTGTACCAATGATAGGGTGTTCCTGTACTCTCCAGCTCCTGTACCAATGATAGGGTGTTCCTGTACTCCAGCTCCTGTACCAATGATAGGGTGTTCCTGTACTCTCCAGCTTCTGTACCAATGATAGGGTGTTCCTGTACTCTCCAGCTCCTGTACCAATGATAGGGTGTTCCTGTACTCTCCAGCTCCTGTACCGATGATAGGGTGTTCCTGTACTCTCCAGCTCCTGTACCAATGATAGGGTGTTCCTGTACTCTCCAGCTCCTGTACCAATGATAGGGTGTTCCTGTACTCTCCAGCTCCTGTACCGATGATAGGGTGTTCCTGTACTCTCCAGCTCCTGTACCAATGATAGGGTGTTCCTGTACTCTCCAGCTCCTGTACCAATGATAGGGTGTTCCTGTACTCTCCAGCTCCTGTACCAATGATAGGTTGCACTTGTAAACTTTGACTCACTTTATCGCTGTATCAGTCGCTGTCAGCTACGTTTCGATGTTCCAATTTATATATTTAGGAACAAAAAAGTCCCCGTGGCGTAGTGCTTAGATACTCGCCTGGAGTTCCGCGAACGCTTTGTCCTGGGTTCGTATCCTGGCCGGGGAGGATTTACCGGGCGTCAACTGTAGCCTCTGTTTACCCAACAGTAAAACAGGTACCTGGTTGTTAAACGATTTGGCGGGTCGTATTCTCGGGGACTATTAGGATTAAGGTCTTGTCCGAAACGCTGTGCGTGCTAGTGGCTGTACAAGAATGTAAGAACTCATATATATATATAAGTCCAAAAGGAGACTTTTGTTAGGCACTTTCTATGTAAGAAAGGGTGTTCCTTTCACTGGCACTGTGATGGCAATAAAGTGATTAGTTGTCAATGTAACTTATGTTTATAAAGGATCAAGTTATGAACATTCTCGACACGCAATGTGCAACAATGAGTTAAGTCATTTACATTCAACAAGAGAACTTTCCCCAGCAAGAGAAGACGGGGGAAGCCACCTGCGGCTTCCCCTGTGACCTGTGAGCAGGATCCGGCGCCATTACTATCTGTGAACTCTGTCTTATTACCAATTAGCTCGTGCGTGCCAAGCTTGCAAGACTGTGGCCCGGCGTGGCAACAGTGACACAGCTGGGCCACCCACAACATGCCAGCTGTGCTCCCAACAAGGTGCCATAGAGTAAACTCAGTGCTGATGGTTTAGTTTACAACAGCACTGTGATGGCATTAGAGTTTACATGATCTTGAGGTTATCTTGAGATGATTTCGGGGCTTAGCGTCCCCGCGGACCACTGGAATGATACGTGTTCCTTGTCGTAACTTTGTTGAGGCGACAGTGTTGGTGTTATCCTGAGGTTATCTTGAGATAATTTCGGGGCTTAACGTCCCCGCGGCCCGGTCCTCGACCAGGCCTCCTTTTTGTTACACA